TTTGATTCTTTTGCTACCTATATGTAAATTACTCTTACATAAGCATGTTCTATAAGTGTATATAATAAATAAGGGTGTGAGATGTATGTATAAACACAACTATACAGAGAAATGAAGTTTGTAAATAAATAGGACTTGAATGGGAGAAGAGGTCCATGAAACACACACACACACAAATGCATAAGGAAAACCATATTATGTAACACAATATACTCTATTTAATAATTCTCACATTGGTGTCTAAAACTCAAAAGAGCAGAGTTAAATGAACAGGAATTGAAAGTGCATGATAAATGCGTCCCTCATAGCATTTAAATCTCTTCCACTTGATTAAAAATTCCTAGTTCCTCTTCACTGAATTGTTTAGAGTTTTTGAGCAGCCTCTGCCCTGATTAAAACAAATTAGCATCAAAGATCCCCTGTTGAATGAGAAATCATTAATTGAGAAACATGCAATGCTCCTTAATTACCTTTAGAACAGTGAGAGAACAAATAATCTCAGGTTCCAGAGGGGCCTCCTGCTCTGCACTGTGGACTCATTTCGTGTAGCTGCTGGAATAAAACTCAAGTTACAAACACTATTGGGGAATATCAATGCGAGCTTCAGTAAACACACCGCTGATTGTTTATCTAAAAGAAAAATATCTAGATAAGGACTCAGAAGGAAAGAGGGGGAAATGTCTGAGTTTATTATCTTGTTGAGAGCTTTCAAAGTGTTTTACATGTGCCAATATTGGTTGAGAAATAATATAAGCTGTTCTTTCTGGTACAAATTTTAATGCTTTGTGTAAAATACTTCATTTATGTAATTACTTGCTAACACTTCAGACGCTTATACACAGATGAGTAACTTTATCATTTAACAGTAGGATAGAAAGTAGCAAAGTTAAATTTCACAAAATCCAGCTACAAATGGAAATTCAAATCTTGATGTTGCACCTGAGTCATTTATTTCTCTATCTATCGATACAGTAGATTCAGGAGCTTCTGTGGGTCAGTGAGACATGTATCCTTCTGCCTTCTCAATCTAGAAAACACTGAATACTACCCCACAGGGGTAGCATTAGGAAATCAAATTATTGCAGGTGCTGTGACAATGTAAAGAATATCACCAAAGGCTCACACACACACTGCCCTCTGGACAGCTTTCTGATAACAACAGTCATATGGGACTGCACCTAAGTACCCAGGAAGGAGGAGGCATGGTAAGACCTGTTATTTAACTGAGGATAGTATCTTGGTTTTATTCTAGTTTTCTCCATTTTATCCACTAGCTCATGGGTCAACAGCCTTTGAAAAAAATGACAGAATTGATTCAATCACCTCTGCTCCTTTGGATGTTTTTGGTTAATGTACAGTTTAAACTGGTTCATGTAATATAAAGCACAAATGACCCAAACAATGCTGCCATTTCAAAATTGCTATTAATGTGGTTAAGACCCAATTTTGGGAGTTTGCATTTAATTTAAGTAACATGAAGTGACTTGTTTTGCATGTGGAATCAAACTTTATGTCAATAGTCACAGTAGATTTCAAACTGTAAAGATTTCTGATTATTATTCTTTATCTTCTATTCCACCAAGATAATAAATTTGACATTGTCATAATCTTTGAAACTATTGCAAATAAACCCTTGAAGACTACATTGCAGGGGCAATTACAAAGACTACCTTGAGACTATCTACACAAAGTAATTTGCATGAGTGGGGGGTGAGAGGGACAGAGAAAGGAGACTGTCATTGACTGAATCAATGTATTACAAGAGGATATAAGAATCTTATGATATATTGAAACAGTAGAAAAACTGTTATTTTTTCCCATGGATTCCCATTAAGGTATATACTTTATTTGGCCATTCTACTTTAGGACAAAATAAATCTCAATTCACTAATGTGCAAAAGGTCAGGTGGTTCATATATGCTACCAAAGTAAGAATTACTAACGAAAAGTCTATCCCATAACCGTCTTCTAAGTATGGTTTAGGAAAGGAAAATCTCGTCACTAAAACAGTGCCTATTATGTACAAAAACACAAAGCATCCTTATATATCTTTACAAACCACTAGTTTGTCAAGCTTCTGAGAGACATAGCCCTTTGAGAAACAAAGTGATGCTATTTGGTATTTTTCCCTTACAGAAAGGTTGTTTCTTTTAACAGTCTACACATTGCATTTTTGCAGTGTTGAAGGTCAAATTGGAGTTGTCACTTCAGAAATCAGCAAGGGGTGGATGTTGTGTACTCAGAGTTTGTTTCCTCTTCCAACTAGTTCATCTGCACATAAATGTTCAGAAGACCGTATTCTTTATCCTCAGGGAATAGTCCTGATAAGTAGGATATCCCATTTGCCATTATCTATTTGTGCTGCAAGGTAATTCATTTTAGGTTGAAATCAAATTGTTTTAAGCTGAGCTGGTATTTTTATTGGTGTCCTTCCAGCTGGCCTTCCTTTTAAGTACCATTGTATTTCAAACAAGCTGATCTAAAGGAAAAGATTATCACTGCCAATGTGTATTGTCACAAGGGAACAAAGATGTTCAAGACCTATTTTATGTTATTTATTTTTTTAAGCATTGATAGAGATATGAGAGTGCTAGTCTGCTACAGGGGGAAACAAGCTGACTAGTTGATGAAGGGTAAGAAAGATGTGTGATGATGGGAAAGAAAAACAGTCTGTTGGTATTTACTGTAAAATTACCCTCTAAAGCTGAGAAAATATTTGCAAAATGTAATAAATACTTAAAAAATCCTGAAAAGCACAACTCTGAATTACCAGGTAATATATACCATTGGTTTCTATTGTAATTTGGTTATTTGGGAACTTTGGCACATATATGTCCTTTAGTGTTACCCACGGAGAAGGCAATGGTACCCCACTCCAGTACTCTTGCCTAGAAAATCCCATGGATGGAGGAGCCTGGTGGGCTGCAGTCCATGGGGTCGCTGAGTCAGGCACGACTGAGCGACTTAACTTTCATTTTTCACTTTCATGCATTGGAGAAGGAAATGGCCACCCACTCCAGTGTTCTTGCCTGGAAAATCCCAGGGACGGGGGAGCCTGGTGGGTTACCGTCTATGGGGTCACACAGAGTCGGACACGACTGAAGCGACTTAGCAGCAGCAGCAGTGTTACCCAAAATAATGAAGAGAATTGTTGCACATGATTCTCTGAATTTAACTTTGAATCTTCTCATAGTACAAGGATAAAACATCAAACTCTGATCTACTTCCTATTTCAACAACAACATAAACCCATCAACCTAGGTAAGATAGATGAGCACTTTTTATCCCAGGTTACTTAGGAATAGTTTAGACAATTGGTCCAAGCCATTAAAAGAGTTGGCATTTGAGCTCACACTAAAATTCAAATGTATCCCACACAAGACCTATTCTAACACAACCTACACATCACTGAAAAGCACAAGGTATCGTTCAGAAACAGGGGTTATAGAGGCACAAAGAATTGGTTCCAGAATTGGCTCAGTAATGCCATCTCCCAAGGTGGATTTTCTAGAGTGAGATCTCCTATCTGACCATGCTCATAGCTTGTTTAAAGAGCATGGTGCAGAGAAAAATAAGTGTTGGATTGAAATCCCCAAATCCTCCGATAAGCACTGATCCACCATCAAGAAGCTGAAGAGGAGGAGGCTCCAGGCTCAGACGTCCAGAGAAGTTGCTGCTTTTTGTTGTGAGAGAAAGGGGCTCCAGGGTTCAGCTCTGAGTGCCGCGTGCTTCAGACACATCTCCTCTGAGGCCCGCCCCCAAACTCTCACCTTTCTGGGACACGCTAGCAGGCTGGGTGTTTCTCAGGGCAGAGCGGTCCCCTTCCCTGACCTGACCTCCGGGAGGTGTGGAGTTGGGTTTCCCTGGGAGAAAGGGTCTGCCATGTTATCCCCCGGAGCACTAGCAGGCCCCCCTCAGGGTTAGGCCTTACGTCAGGAGACAGGAGACAGACGGCCTGCCTGAGCCCCCGAGTGCAAGAAGGGTCAGGGATACTTGGTCCTCCCATGGGGTTGGAGAGAAGAGAGGCATTTGGATCTGTCTTGGCTACTCCCTTCTTAATAACACCTTAATAACACCTCAGTCTTAATAACACCAGACTGAGGCCCACAAGAGAGGTGATGCAGACATGGGCCAGGACGCAGAGGGCAATGTGGGGACGAAACCCAAAACTCACCAAGGAACAAGCAGACTTTTCTTAGAAAACTCCTCAGCTATGCCACGACTGTACCAGAGTCAGAAAGAGGACTTTCACTGCCTCCTTGGTGGCTCAGTGATAAAGAACTCACCTGCCAATGCAGGAGACACAGGTTTCATCCCGGAGTCAGGGAAGATCCCCTGGAGAAGGAAATGGACACCTGGGTGCGCCAGTATTCTTGCCTGGGAAATTCCATGGACAGAGAGGAGCCTGGCAAGCTACAGTCCATGGGGTCGCAAAAGAGTCAGGCACGAATAAGTGACTAAACAACAACAAGAACAACTTATGTAAACACAGAACACGTGGTTGGGACAGAGATCCTCAGTTTTGGCTGGAATCTTGGCCACTTAGGCGTCCATTCTCAGGAACAATCGAAGTGTTCAGCTTGCAACTCAAAGAGAACATGTAGGAAACTTCCCTGGTGGTCCAGTGGTTAAGACTTCACCTTCAAATGCAGGGTGTGCTGGTTTGATCCCTGGTCAGGGAGCTGAGATCCCATATGCCCCATGGCCAAAAAACCAAAATGTAAAACAGAGGTAGTATTGTAACAAATTCAGTGAAGACTTTAAAATGATCCACATCCAAAAACTCTTTTAAAAAACAAACCCAAAGAGAACATGCAGAAAAGGCCAACAAAAATCAGGGGAAGGAGAGAGAAATATATTTTGAATGTGGAATTCAATAATCAAATTTTATAACCAAGTCATAGATGGCAGATAAACTTATCCTTTGGTTAAGTGCTTTTTCCTAGATGATTTTGGGGAGGTAAAAAATATATATGACAAAACTGCATTGGCAATGGGGGTTGGAAGATTCAATGTTTTTATTTCAGCAATTAAACTCCTGATGAATAGCATACTATATCATAAAATGTTGGCTTTTTAAAGCAGGTTTGAACTTTTACACAATCTGTTTTAACACTGGCATGCATACCTGTATACATATATACTGAGATGGTTCTAATTCTTAATTTAAAAAATTTGATACAACTAAAATGTTAAATGTACACTATAATGAAAACACTGCTGTAACACCAACCAGATGGCTTATATTCCTTGAAAAATTATTTAAAGCATTTTGACTTAGAATGATGACTTCATTATTTAAAGAAATTCTAACTGTAAATAAAGGCAGCTCTTTGGCCTAGTGCAATGTATCCTTAATTTGCCTAATCCTAAGAACCACGGAGGTGCTTGCTTATTAAGCATATGAATCTCCAGGGTCCAATCCAGTCCTTCTGTATCTTAATGTCTACAGGCAAAGGTAGGAATGTACACTGACCCAGGCAGTTCACACGATCAAGTTCCAAACTCATCTAAGTAAACTCACACCTATTTTAGCAAAGAGGCTTTGGAAAGTTGATTTTTGTTTTTTTAAAGTATATGCGGGTAGAATTCATTCATTTGATCAGTTTTAATTTTTTAAAACTTTTTATATGGAACACTCTTCAAATCATAGTTTTATATTCAATGCCACAAAGAAGTATCGTGTATGACAACCAAATGTAAGGATCGATCCCTTCTTGCCAAATTTGAACATGAAAGTGACAATCGATGTTCCCGTCTAAATGTCACCAAGCAATCATTTAAAAAATGCTTTACTAAAACTATATATTTTGAAAGAGTCAAAGCTGCTATGGACCCATATATCGAAGTGGATTTTTTTAGAAATCTCTATAGTCTAGAAATAAGGAACTGACTTGAGGTTTTTAAGAAATCTTCATTTGCAAAAACCTACATGGCTTTTACAGATGGTGAAAATATGAATGAAAAATTAATAGATGAATTGATAAAACAATTGGTAGAAAAAGAGTGGCCCAGTGGCCCCACGGTTGTTAAAAACCAGCTACATATGCACTGAAGGCCCATCATGAAAGCTTTGTGTTTATTATGTCCACTATCTTCTAGTTTCACAGCAGCTCTGCAAGGTGAGTACAGTAGCTTCCCCACACAGATGGTAAGTATGAGGCTTTGAAAGGGTAAAACTTGCCAGCACCACACAGCTCAAAGCTGGTTGCAACATCTGTCCTTGGGCCCAACCACCAGTCTGCACTCTAAGTGACCCCGCAGCAGCACAAAGCTATGCAGTCACTGCTGTCTTACTGTAACCCAAAGAAAATGAGATATTGGGAAGCACAGTAAGGATCGATTACAGGTTGAAATATATTCTATTTGTAGTTTTCCTACTGAACATAACACCATAGTATATGGCATATATTTTCCTTCTATGTGTCTCACTAAATAAATTTTCACTTAAAAGCAATTATGAAAATCTCAGTCCTCTTCAAATGTATTAAATTGATCTGTGAGCATGTGCATCCTCTTCAACAAGAAATCTCTAATTGTCCACTATTAAAATGATAAAAATTTTTTTTTTAACCAAAACTTTTCATTCTATTTAACCAAAGCTTTTCATCTTGGGTGGAGTAAGAAATCCTAAAAGTTAAAGAATTTTTCAAAGTCATTCTAAACTGAAATGTATAGAGTTTCATTAAGGTAAGTTTTCAAGAGAATCAGTCATTTAATGCCTAACTTCTTGAACAGTATCTGTGTATACTTGTGGTTTCTTTTTTTTTTTTTTTTAAGGAAGCTTCCAGATTAAAAGTGTTTGGGATGTGGGGGGAAAAGAAAATCATACAGATTCAAAGCAATTATCCCCAAGGTCTTTTCAATCTACTTCACATAGGGTGAAGTATTTTCTTGCCAGTAAAAAGCTTTGGAAAATTGAGAAGATATTGCATAATTTAGTCACAGAGTTAGCCATATTTAGCCCAGAAACACAGAGTACATGACTTTAACTTAACATTGCATTATGTCCCATAATTGTCTAAAATTCAAATTTACCAATTTTAAGAACTCTATGAGATTTGATATGAATGAGGCTTGACAATTCTTTCACAGTAATTCCATTTGTTCAGCCTCTCTAAAAATACAGCTGAAATAGATTTTACATTCAACTCTGTATATTTCTGTCTTTTTGTTATATGTGCTTTCATGATAACTGTTACAGAGTATTAAGCAAACTGGGCAATCATTTTATTTTTACATGATTCTACTTTTGTATTCATCGGTTTTGTCAATCTATTTTTCCAGGAGAGAAAAATCAACATTTAAAGGGCTCCCCAAAAAGCTAATAAAAATTGCTTGATTGTTTTCAGGAGACATTTACAAACTTTGCTCAATTTCTTTCTTTTTTTTTGAAAGAAAATTTCAGAGGGAGGTTAAAAACAAACAGCTCCACTTCCTATCCCCACCAGAACCCCATAGGCTATAGATTAAACTGGTCTAAGAATTAGTCTGACTTTTAACGAATGGAAAATAGCAAAATTATCATGCCAACATAATGAATGTATACTATAATTCATAAATGCCTAATCATCAAAACAATGACATAGTCATGGTTAGATGCAACCTAGCAATCTTATACATGATGCAACAACATATTTACGATCATTCCTGCTATACATCACATTCGATCCTCATCAAATTAAGCTGGCTATGTAAAAGTGGCATTGTGAAATAAACATTTAATATCACAAGAGGGTCATATTCCACTACTGCACAACCATAGCATGCAAGTAACTATGCATTAGCTGTAAACAGTAAAGTGTCATTATCTTCCAGAAATCCAAAGAATGTGATAAGTACATAGAGAGTACTAAACATCAATTATATTTAAATGACTTTCATCCTGAACAAAACTATATTGCACAGAGCAGCTTTGGATGTGTCTCTTGTCACTGCTCTCTTCATATATTCTGTAGTCACCTTGAAGTTAAGAAATTGCTGTTCCAAACAAGCTCTGTTCATCTACTGAGTTCCAGTGGACGGTTGTCAAAAATTAGGACACACATGATTCTACATTCCAATGTGAAAGCTGTCTTAAACCATCTTCCCTTTCTGCCATCATTAAGATGTCTGAATCATTAAGAATATGCTGAATGCGGGCAGTGACAAACTTACTTTATTTCTCAAATTGGAGACTTTCATGACACCAATGTGCTTTGTGTTAGAAATAGAAATACTGTATATGCTTGCCAGCAAATGCTCTTCTCTACTTGTGTTCTAAGTGAAACAGTTGGCAGGAAGAAACCTGGGTCATATTATGACTTGGAGGGGGTTTTGACTCTAAGATGCTTTTCACAGCGTTTGTAAAAGGTAGATAAAATCTAGCAGCTAGGAGAGAAGGGCCAAAAGAACGTGATCCGTTCTTATAAAAATGCAGATGGATCATTGAGGTCTGATCCAATGATTCTGAGGCAATTAAAAAAATTACCATATTAGAGCAGAAGCTTGCATACTGTAAAATAACTATTTCAGCTCTCTTCAGGTTTGTGGCATTGGAGGCTGGTTTGGGAAGGAGGGGAAAAATTGATTGCTGGACAGGCTTTTCCATGCTCTATCAGCTCTGATAATGAGTTAGGCAGTTGGCATGGACGACAGCAATGTCCTCGTCACTCAGAATTCTAATAAACCTCCTGTGAAGTTGCACAATGCCATCTAGCCAAATGGATTCATCTTGGTCTGCAGTCCAGTTAGGTGGGAAAGAATCACATTTGAAAACTGAGTTTGGACATGATACGGTCCTGTGAAATATTTAAATACATTTACCTACATCCTACTAAATCAAAATCTTGCTTTTACATTTACAAGGAGATAAAATAGTATTTAAAGCCACTGCAGTTTGTTCATTTCCTGTTCATATACAAGTGACATAAGTTTGCTTAGGAGGCAAAAACTGTACAATTCTCATCACTCAGGCATTATAAAATGTCTTTCTTTAAAGCCCTGGGATATAAACAGTTTGGTTCATATGAATTACATATTTTTCATCTGCATTAAGAAACAATATACATCTTTTTTTTCCAGAGTACTTTAATGTTATCTATGATAAGCCTAAGATAGCTGTAAAAACTAACTTTATCAACTGTGACCATCAATACTATTAATTTTATAAAACTCAGGAACATTCTTTGGCCACTTGGGTCATTCCCTTTCAGAGGGAATTGTGTTTGGGCCCTGGGACCATACAGAGATTTGTCTCCGTGAAAACTGAGGCCTTGGACCAGCCTTTAATGGAAGCCATTTACAGAGTCAAATATGACAGAACCTACAGAAGCAGTTTCTATTTCTCAGACACAAGTTCCTTGACGCGTTGAGAGGTGGTGTTTTCGATTTCGGACTCCTGAAGTTTTGTCTTTACTATCTGAAGGCTTCTGCTGTGAAATATCTATTAGGGCACTGGCAATCGCAATACCTGGAAGAAGAGGAAAAAGGCAGGTAAATGTTTGGTCAGACATTTTTGGGATGGCAACAGTGGTGGCCTAGTATTTTTTTATATTCAGCAATCAAACATGTAGCTGTTTACTGGAAGTTGTCAAGTGGTTTACCCTTTACTTATAATATATCTTGTTTTACTTTTTTTCAATTGAAACATAGTTGACTTACAACACTGTAATAATTACTGCTATATAGCAGAGTGATTCAGTTATATGCATAAATACATTCTTTTTTACATTTTAAAGTATTTCTAACCTTGGACATATGAACTACATACATGAAGAAGAGCAAGGACCTAACAAAATCAACTGACTCTGACTTTGGACAATCAAATTGCTGTGTGACAAAACACCACAATCAGTGTGGATATGACTCTATACCTTTGTTTCTATGTCTAAACACAAGTGTGTTCTAAAAGTATAGGGAACTTTCAGTGTTACTACTGGGTGTGTGTGTGTGTGTGTGTGTGTAACAAAAGTCAGCATATTGTTGTCATTTAAATTAGAGTAGTTTTAGGTTTACAGAAATGTTGAACCAATATTGATACATGATTATTAGCTAAAGTCTATAGTTTACATTAGGGACCACACTTTGGGCTGTACACAAGGTTCTATGGGTTTAGATAAATGCATACTGTCATATACTCACTGTGAAAGCATTATACAAAATAGTTTCATTGCCCTAAAAATTTCCTGGGCTTTACCAGTTTATCCTTCCCCTTCCCCTGAGCTTATGGTAACCACTGATCTTTTTTCAAATATCTCTATAGCTTTGCATTTTCCAGACTGTCATATAGTTGGAATCATACAGTATGTAGCCTTTTCAGATTGTCTTGTTTCACTTAGCAATATTCCTTTAAGTTCCACCGTATGTCTTTTTGGCTTGATGACCCATTTCTTTTTATTGCCAAATAATATTCCATTGTATTGATGTACTACAGTTTGTCCATAGGGTCACAAGAGTTGGAGACAACTTGGTGGCTAAACAGAAGCAGCAGCAATAACATATGATGTTGAGCATCTTTTCCTATACTTGTCATATGTACCTATTTCTTTAGTGAGGTATCCATTCAGAGCTTTTGTCTATTTTTAATTTCTTTATTTGTTTTCTTATTGTTGAATTGTAAGAGATTTCTTTTACATTTTGGATACCAGTTCTTTTTCAGATACAGGTTTAGCCAATATTGTCTCCCAGACTGTTTTCTGTCTTTTCATTCTCTTACATTGCTTTTAAGAGGTAAGAAATCACCCTAGGTATAGAGCTATGAAATGCACATAGAAGAAAGACAACTTGTAGAAATTTAGTGAATAAATGTCTTAAATATAAGAAAAAGATCATTAGTATTATCAGTAGAATATCTACATGAAAGTAGATCTCTAGCTATCAAAGGTAATGAAGAATATTGTTTTGTCCTATGATTGACAGGAACATGTGTTAATATGTACAGGAATGGTAAAACCTTTCCTAAATTTATACAAGCAATGGCTGAATCCAGTAACCCTGGTTTCAATTAAGTTAAGTTCAGTTCAGTTGCTCAGTCGTGTCTGACTCTTTGCGACCCCATGGACTGCAGCACACCAGACTTCCCTGTCCATCACCAGCTTCTGGAGTTTACTCAAATCATGTCTATCGAGTTGGTGATGCCATCCAACCATCTCATCCTCTGCCATTCCCTTCTCCTCCTACCTTCAAACTTTCCCAGCATCAGGGTCTTTTTCAATGAGTCAGTTCTTCACATCCAGTGGCCAAAGTATTGGAGTTTCAGCTTCAACATCAGNCCATGTCTTGAAGATCATTTTCCACAGTTTGCTATGATCTCCACAAAGGCTTTGGCATAATCAATAAAGCAGATGTTTTTCTGAAACTCTCTTGCCTTTTTGATGATCCAACGGATGTTGGCAATTTGATCTCTGGTTCCTCTGCCTTTTCTAAATCCAGCTTGAACATCTGGAAGTTCACGGTTCACGTACTGTTGAAGCCTGGCTTGGAGAATTTTGAGCATTACTTTGCTAGCATGTGAGATGATTGCAAATGTGTGGTAAAAAAACTGACCTTTTCCAGTCCTATGGCTACTGCTGAGTTTTCCAAATTTGCTGGCATGTTGAGTGCAGCACTTCCACAGCATCATCTTTTAGGATTTTAAATAACTCAACTGGAATTCCATCACCTCCACTAGCTTTGTTTAAAGTGACGCTTCCTAAGGTCCACTTGACTTTGCATTCCAGGATGTCTGGCTCTAGGTGAGTGATCACACCATCATGCTTATCTGGTTCATGAAGATCTTTCTTGTACAGTTCTTCTGTGTATTCTTGCTACCTCTTCTTAATACCTTCTACTTCTTTTAGGTCCATACCATTTCTGTCCTTTATTGTGCCCATCTTTACATGAAATGTTCCCTTGGTATTTCTAATTTTCTTGAACAGATCTCTAGTCTTTCCCATTCTATTGTTTTCTCTGTTTCCTTGCACTGATCACTAAGGAAGGCTTTCTTATCTCTCCTTGCTATTCTTTGGAATTTGCATTCAAATGGGGATATCTTTCCTTTCCTCCTTTGTCTTTCACTTCTCTTCTTTTCACAGCTATTTGTAAGGCCCCCTCAGACAGCCATTTTGCCCTTTTGCATTTCTTTTTCTTGTGGATATCTTGATCATTACCTCCTGCACAATGTCAGGAATCTCCATCCATAGTTCTTCAGGCACTCTATCAGACCTAATCCATTGAATCTATCTGTCACTTCCACTGTATCATTGTAAAGGATTTGATTTAGGTCATATCTGAATGGTCCAGTGGTTTTCCCTACTTTCTTCAATTTAAGTCTGAATTTTGCCGTAAGGAATTCATGATCTGAGCCATAGTCAGCTCCCAGGCTTATCTCTGACTGTGTAGATCTTCTCCATCTTTGGCTGCAAAGAATATAATCAATCTGATTTTGGTATTGACCATCTGGTGATATCCATGTGTAGAGTCTTCTTTTGTGTTGTTGGAAGAGGGTGTTTTCTATGACCAGAGCATTCTCTTGGCAAAACTAATAGAGTTCATTTAGTACTGCTTCATTTTGTACTCTAAGGCCAAATTTGCCTGTTACTCCAAGTATCTCTTGACTTCCTATATTTGCATTTCAGTCCCCTATAATGAAAAGGACATCTTTTTTGGGTATTTGTTCTACAAGATCTTATAGGTCTTCATGGAACTGTTCAACTTTAGCTTCTTCAGCATTACTAGTTAGGGCACAGACTTGGATTACTGTGATATTGAATGGTTTGCCTTGGAAATGAACAGAGATCATTCTGTCATTTTTGAGATTGCATCCTAGTACTGCATTTCAGACTCCTTTGTTGACGATGATGGCTACTCCATTTCTTCTAAGGGATTCTTGCCCACAGTAGTAGATGTAATGGTCATCTAATTTAAATTAGACCATTCCAGTCCATTTTAGTTCACTGATTCCTAAAATGTCAATGTTCACTCTTGCCATCTCCGGTTTGACCACTTCTAATCTACTTTGATTCATGGACCTAACATTCCAGGTTCCTATGCAATACTGCTCTTTACAGCATTGGACTTTACTTCTATCACCAGTCACATCCACAACTGGGCACTGTTTTTGCTTTGGCTCCATCTCTTCATTCTTTCTGGAGTTATTTCTCCATTCTTCTCCAGTGCATATTGGGCACCTACTGATCTGGGGAGTTCATATTTCAGTGTCATGTCTTTTTGCTTTTTCATACTGTTCATGGGGTTCTCAATGCAAGACTATTGAAGTGGTTTGCCATTCCCTTCTCCAGTGGACCACATTTTGTCAGAACTCTCCACCATGACCCATCTGTCTTGGGTCACCCTCATACCCTGGTTTATCACAGCTGTATAGGAACCATTTTAGTTTCTGTCAACTTCCAAAGAATTTTTGAATAAAGTGAGATGTGCCAAATCCCCATACTAATCCATGAGACGAGACTGCTTGCTTCAAGAAGTCACCAATTTCCCTTTTGCAAGGTCTTGGAGACTTGACTCTGAATTGATTTGAACCAGTTCCTGAGCTCTCACAGACATCTTCTCAATGTGCTGCTCTTAGAGGAAGGCCTCACTTTGGAATCTCATGCTATGCAAGGTGTTGTTGAATTATTTTATTCCTTTGGGTCAATGTATACCAGATAAGTCTCAAATATGATCTGACAAGAACAGAACTCCAGAGATTTATGACCAGAAAGGAATGCCAGTGAGGGGAAATGGGCAGTATAAGGTCAACTAGTCTCCTGCACAGCACTGTGCTGTAGAAATCGAGGGAAAGGGGGGTTCACATCATCTGCATAAAGTACACAAGGGGCCAGCAGATGAGGCTTGCCACAGAGGCCTTTGGAGCCGCTCAAGGAAGATTCTGGTGATCCTGGAGTCATTTCCGTACTTAGCTGAGGATGGAAGCCAGACATTTCAGCAGGTAATGAGGTGAGAGGGAATGTGGTCAACAGATACTAGTTCTATGTTGACGACATTTGTCAATGGAAAGAGGTAAGTAACCTGGTACACAGAGGAAGCAGCAGGGTCAGATGAGATCTAGGTGAATGCATGTGATGATCTGAGTACATATATTTTTTAAAGGAAAACAGAGTTTCAGGTACATTTAAAAACAGAAGAGAAGGTATTTATGCAGAAGGAGAAATAAATGGTGTTATGGAGGGAAAGGATTAAAAAATTAATCACTGGCTAGGCTGATAATCTTCCATATTTCCCTTTTAAGAGTTGCTGCTAAATAAACTACTCTTTCAGGATATTAAATAACTATCCTGAGTTTCTTAGAGATAACACAAGCTCACAGGTTCAAAGTTTAAATAAAAACTGCTTTTGTGACCTATGAAGAGCCCATATGAACTTCTGAAGTGTAAAAAATGGACATTTTAACCACTTACTCTGCTGTAAGAAATAATTATTTTGTTATTTCTTTAAGGGAGGGACTTGAAACACATTATTTAAAAAAAACAA